TTGGTGCTACATAGTGATGAACACAATCCTTACTTGAAATCAATGGAAAAATTTCAGGAGAAATTAAAATACTTTTCGCCATCAATATTGGTGGTTGCTGGTCTCCAAAGGCTGGAAAACTTTCCAGTCTTTAGTCCTGGTGACAGTGGTAAACTTTTAGAAAAGCTGTCATCTTTCCTTGAGACTGTGGATGTTCCAATCCATTTTGAAATGGCATCGTTCCACCAAGAAACGTTCTTTGATGAACTTTTACAGTACGTAATACCTTATTCAAGTTCTATTGGCATGAATGAACAGGAGCTTCCTAACTTATGGAGTAAACTCCTTTATGGAAACATTACAGTTGTTTCCAGTCAGAAACCAAGGGTAGCAAAAGTGCTGGATCTCATGAGGGATGTTTACAAGATTTCAAGAGGGAATTATGGAAAAGGAAGAAAGAGGCAGCTGACTCGATTGCATGTCCATACTCTTGCTTTTCAAGTGATTCTAACCACTGAAGGATCACACTGGAAAAACACCAAGGCAGCTGCTGCAAAAGCCTCTCTGACGGCAACGAGGCATGTCTGTGGCTCAAGGGAAATTGATCCCAAGAAATCTAAGTTATTTATGGATGATTCATTTTCCAAGAGTATAGTTCCAGGTAGCCCTAGAGTTCAATTCAATTCCAATTCACCCGTGTCTTGCTGGAATGAGGAAGATTACAAAATTTGTGTTGCTCCAGTGTTAGTTTGTACTCAAGTGTTGCAGACAGGAGGTGGTGGTGACCATATTACAGCAGGAGGCTTGGTATTACAGATTTAGGCTGTATACTATTATTTGGGTTTAACACTACTCTCACTGTTTCTGAAAATAAATAGAGATTACTGCACGGTAATGTTCACAAAAGACCGTGTTTGACCACATTTCCAAACATCGAGAAGATAGTTGAAAATACGACGCGCAGTGGAGTATTTTTGACGAACTTCGAGGTGTTTGGAAATGTGGTCAAACATTGTCTTGAGTGTTTGATATGTCTTCTCAATCGAAACCAAACTAAGGAGAAAACGGAGAAATAAAATTGCAAAAATCTATGCTTATTAAGATCAGATATCCAAACACTGTCACGGTCATGATTTCCCTTGTGTAAACTTGATGAATTATTAATGAGTTTGAGAAGCATAAGTCGAGTCCTACACTGTATCGGAAATTGAGCCAGGAGCACAACAAATGAGCAGAGTTTTCTAACAGACCTCATTAAGTAAATAAAATCATGCAAAACATATCCTTTAGAGTAATTTATTCGTTTTATTGGTAATGAGATTTGAAAGAAGAAGCAACAGTAAGTCAAGGCTGAAATAAAGAATGCAGAAATATAGATGGCAACTGGTACATTCACCTACAATTTTTAGCGACCGAAAACGTTAACATGTTGGCAACATCA